AAATAAACTGTTTTTACTGAAGTTAAAGTGTCAAATTTGAGAGATTAATGCATTTTGCTAAAACAGAACCTAATCCTGATGCACATTCATCACCAATTTTATTGCTACTTTTTAAATATTGAAGAAAAGATATATCATTAAATAGTTAATTAGAAGGAAAAAATTATTAAAAAATATGAAATATTAAGATTAGTTAATTAAAAATAAAAGCAAAAGTTGAAAATAAAATGATGAATTTTTAAATTAATAAAGAAAAAACAAAAAAAAGCAAGCACAATACAAAGAAAAAGAAAAAAGAGCTTTATTGTTTTTAATTAATTTTTATAATTAAAAATATCACAATCCAAAACAAATAAACTGTTTTTACTAAAGTTAAAGTGTCAAATTTGAGAGATTAATGCATTTTGCTAAACCAGAACCTAAGCCTGATGCACATTCATCACCAATTTCATTGCCACTTTTGAAATATTGAAGAAAAGATATATCATTAAATAGTTATTTAGAAGGAAAAAATTATTAAAAAATATGAAATATTAAGATTAGTTAATTAAAAATTAAAGCAAAAGTTGAAAATAAAATGATGAATTTTTAAATTAACAAAGAAAAAACAAAAAAAAGCAAGCACAATAAAAAGAAAAAGAAAAAAGAGCTTTATTGTTTTTAATTAATTTTTATAATTAAAAATATCACAATCCAAAACAAATAAATTGTTTTTACCAAAAGTCAAGTGTCAAATTTGAGAGATTAATGCATTTTGCTAAAGCAGAACCTAAGCCTGATGCACCTTCATCACCAATTTCATTGCCACTTTTGAAATATTGAAGAAAAGATATATCATTAAATAGTTAATTAGAAGGAAAAAATTATTAAAAAATATGAAATATTAAGATTAGTTAATTAAAAATAAAAGCAAAAGTTGAAAATAAAATGATGAATTTTTAAATTAACAAAGAAAAAACAAAAAAAAAAGCAAGCATAATAAAAAGAAAAAGAAAAATGAGCTTTATTGTTTTTAATTAGTTTTTATAATTAAAAATATCACAATCCAAAACAAATAAACTGTTTTTACCTAAGGTCAAGTGTCAAATTTGAGAGATTAATACATTTTGATAAAGCAGAACCTAAGCCTGATGCACCCATTGCACCAATTTTATTGCCACTTTTGAAATATTGAAGAAAAGATATATCATTAAATAGTTAATTAGAAGGAAAAAATTATTAAAAAATATGAAATATTAAGATTAGTTAATTAAAAATAAAGGCAAAAGTTGAAAATAAAATGATGAATTTTTAAATTAACAAAGAAAAAACAAAAAAAAGCAAGCACAATAAAAAGAAAAAGAAAAAAGAGCTTTATTGTTTTTAATTAGTTTTTATAATTAAAAATATCACAATCCAAAACAAATAAACTGTTTTTACCAAAGGTCAAGTGTCAAATTTGAGAGATTAATGCATTTTGCTAAACCAGAATCTAAGCCTGATGCACCTTCATCACCAATTTTATTGCCACTTTTGAAATATTGAAGAAAAGATATATCATTAAATAGTTAATTAGGAGGAAAAAATTATTAAAAAATATGAAATATTAAGATTAGTTAATTAAAAATAAAGGCAAAAGTTGAAAATAAAATGATGAATTTTTAAATTAACAAAGAAAAAACAAAAAAAAGCAAGCACAATAAAAAGAAAAAGAAAAAAGAGCTTTATTGTTTTTAATAAGTTTTTATAATTAAAAATATCACAATCCAAAACAAATAAACTGTTTTTACTGAAGTTAAAGTGTCAAATTTGAGAGATTAATGCATTTTGCTAAAGCAGAACCTAAGCCTGATGCACCTTCATCACCAATTTCATTGCCACTTTTGAAATATTGAAGAAAAGATATATCATTAAATAGTTAATTAGAAGGAAAAAAATATTAAAAAATAATTAGTTAATTAAAAATAAAAGCAAAAGTTGAAAATAAAATGATGAATTTTTAATTTAACTAAGAAAAAACAAAAAAAAAGCAAGCACAATAAAAAGAAAAAGAAAAAAGAGCTTTATTGATTTTAATTAATTTTTATAATTAAAAATATCACAATCCAAAACAAATAAACTGTTTTTACCGAAGTTCAAGTATCAAATTTGAGAGATTAATGCATTTTGCTAAAGCAGAACCTAATCCTGATGCACCCATTGCACCAATTTAATTTTGACTTTTTAAATATTGAAGAAAAGATATATCATTAAATAGTTAATTAGAATGAAAAAATTATTAAAAAATGTGAAATATTAAGATCAGTTAATTAAAAATAAAATCATAAGTTTTCAAAATTTATTTTTTTCAAAAAAATGATATTTTATGCTTTCTAAAAATTAGCTTTATTTATAATGTTATTTAGAATGAAATTAAATAGGTATTTCACTATAGTTAATTAGAAGGAAAAAATTAAGAAAAAATATGAAATAATAAGATTAATTAATCAAATTAACAAAGAATGAAAAAATAAGAAATCATAATAAAATGAAAAAGGAAAACAAATCAAATAAATTAAAAGAACTTTAATGTTTTAAATTAACTTTTATAATTAAAAATATTACAATGTAAAACAAATAAATAGCTTTTATTAATTATAAGTTTTTATAGCAAAAATGAAGAAAAAATATCAAATAATAAAATAATAAAAAATGAATAATAAATAAATAATTAAAAATTGAAATGAAAATTAAGTTAAAATAACTAAAAAATTATAGTTTTAATAAAAATCAATAAATAAATAATGATGATGATAATTTCTTTTATAAAAATTATTTATTTAAAAAAATTGAAAATTAAATATACAAAAAATATAAATAATAATTAAAATAAAAATAATTAATAAAATATACTAGAGATCAATATGGAGAACCTAATGAGATAAAAGTGAAGAGCTTAAAAACTTTTTTTATTAATTTATATAAATTTAAAATATATTAATAAAAAAATTAATAATTACTTCTTCTAATTCCAAATATTTTTTAATCTATTATATCATTTATTTTTCTTTTCAAAGATATTGAATAGCAACTTATAAAATTTGATTAATTAATTAATTATAAATGGATAAAAAGAACAAATAAAAAAAAATTAATTAATTATCAAATATTAATTTATAAATTTGGTTTTATGAAGAGATATCACAGAAAAATTAATTTAACATTCACTTTTTAAACTTAATATTTGTATTTAAAACATATACTTAAAAATAAATATAGCAGGAATTAGAGACAGCCGGTTATTTATTTAGTCATATTTGAAAAAAACCTAGTAGTTAATGTTCTAAAATATTATTAAAATAATGTTTATAAGTAGATTTTTATGTTTGTTTTATCTCTGTAATTTTAGGAATATTTATAATATCTCTAATTATAGCATGATGCCATACAAAAATTTCATGGTTTGCCTGCCACCTGTTTTGAAATATATTTTTTATTTATTTATATATTTATTTATTTATTAAAAAATCTAATTTATTTAAATTATAATAGAATTATAATTAATTAATAATTTATAGCGCTTCCAGGATTAAAATACTTGTGGTAGTGCTACCATAAGAGTAGTAATCTTGGAAGCGCTTAAGTAATTTAACTAATATTTGTAAAAAGAATTATTAAAATAAATATATAAATTTATGATTTTACATGTTTTAAAAAATTTAAAATCATTTTTACGAAATATATATATGAAAGTAGGTAGGCATACTGAATTTTTTTTATAATAAAATATTTTATAAATTTTTAAAAAAAATTTGTTAAAAAAAGTTTTTTTATATAGTATTTTAATAATTACCCTCCAGGCGAAATGTTTGGAGGGCGAAAAATTAGGCTTAATAGGTAGAATATTTTTTTTCTTCTACCTATTGGCCCATAAAGGCTCCGATAGTAAATTCTCTGTAATATAACTCTAAAAGTTTCAAATTATTTGATCCTTTTTGGAGAAACCAGAGGGTTTGGTTAGGAGGATTTAATTTTTTTATTTTTTATAAATAAATAATTTATTTATACACAAAAATAAGAATGATATTTATAAATATAAAATAAATAATAAAATCTATTTATCTATCTATTTTATTTTAGGTTAAAAACACTTTTTCAAAATATTAAATAATAAAATATATAATATTATTCAAACATTTAATATTTATTCATCCTTTTTTCGCCAGTTATTTATCAATTGTGATTAAAGACAACTAATCTTTTTGATTTAAGACACTTGCTTATTACTTTGAATTTTTATGATTTATTCAAATCGCTAAAAATTTTAAAATAAATTTATGTAAATTTTAAAATAATTATTAAAATAGAATAAACTTTTAAATTAAAAATTATTCTTTAAATTAATAAATAAAATAATATTTGTGGAATAAAAAAGATGAAAAAATAAAATAAATAAAAGCTATCAGATAAATTTAAAGAGCTTTTTTGTTTTATTTTCATTTTTTTTGTATAAA